ACAACTGACACTAGACCGCTTTTTTTAAACGTGTCGCAAATCATTTTTTGTTCTTGTTATTACGTAAAATACAGGCAAACAGCATTCTTTTCTTGTACATAACCATGCTCTACACATAATACAGTGCGTATGTAATGTATAGTGCCTATCCTGTGTTTGCTAATAAAGAACTAGGGCTTACGTATGTAATGTGTAGTGTCTATACTGTGTTTGCTAATCAAGAACTAGGACTCTTGTACGTATGTAATGTATAGTATCTATCCTGCGTTTGCTAATCAAGAACTAGGACTCTCCTGTAATTTATAGTGCCTATCCTTTTGCTAATCAAGAACTAGGACTCTCCGGTTAGTGCGCACGCCGCTTATTAAGCCCAATTTGGTCTGGGCCCGAGGTGGGCTTAATAACCGGCGACTACTGTAATTAACTTCTTAAGCGGCTTCTTTGCCCTCCTCTCCCTACTTTCGTCATAGATGGATATTTTCAAATATATGGAGGATAAGGACGTCTTTCAGAAATTCTACTCGAATATGCTTGCTCGCCGTCTGGTCAATGGCCTCTCCATCTCCGATGATACCGAGGTTTCCATGATCTCAAGGCTAAAGGGTGCTTGCGGTTTCGAGTACACAACAAAGCTGCAACGCATGTTCCAGGATGTTGGCTCCAGTCGTGACCTCAACATTAAATTCTCGGAGTATCTGAGCGAAAACCCCACTTCTCAAAGCCTGCTAAAAGGCGGTAAGTCTGCCCGTGTGCGCGCGTCCTTCTGGGTTACATGGGGTCATTCATACTGTGCTTAGCTTCTGTGAACTAAAATTAATTTGCAAGGAGAAGTATGCACTTGTCCTAAAACTGGGTCTCCCGACCTGGTCAGCCTTTTCGCACTAGCTCTTATCTGAATAGTCTTGTTTCCGCCTTTCCATTGAAACGGAATGATTGTGTGGAGAGAGATTTCGGTCAGTTTATGCACCTTTCTCACTATAACTTAATTTACACATTGAATTGCTGTAACTCGCAACGCAATCGCCCACTTTATTAAAGTATAACGGTCGTACTGCCAAGTGTGTAAAGTAAGGGATAAATGAGACACGTAGCTTCCGTGAACTAATGTAAGAGGACCTCTATCTGCCAACCGGGAGCTTACTGTACGTATTTCAGCTTCTGGACCTTGTCATTTCTCTTCTCCCTTTCAGTTGACTTTACTATCATGGTGCTCAGTTCGAATGCATGGCCCTTCCAAGCGCAGACAGCATTTGTAATTCCTCCAGAGGTGAGATCGTAGACCTTGCAATTTTTCTACAATGCTTTTTGATTGCCTTTTTACACCAAACGTTTATGAATTTGGCTACCGTTGCATGTGCACTCTGATGCTATCCCCAAGACAAATTTAGCTAGTGTTTTTCGTTTTACAATGCTTGTGGGTGATTACCTTTTTTGTCATACATTTTTTTCATCGGAAAATGAAAAAAAAAACGATTGAAAACTGAAGCATTGTTTCCCGGAAAAATTTTGAACAAGGCAACGACCATGAGACTAGCAGAATTTATTGACGTCATACATTTTCGCGACCTCTTATCTTATTAATAAGATAAATAAACTGTCCAATTAAGTATCGACCTAGAAGGGTGAAACTTGATAAGTAAATAGAGTAGGAGATAATTACTATATTATTTTATGCGCTTTCTCAGGGCACCGTAACTGATAAATCGTGAATTATTTACCTTCACCGTGAGGGGTGACTGCTTTGACCGTGGACGATCACGTGAACCAAACACGAATGAAAAAAAAACATTTGTATTGCAGCTCTAACCAAGGTGGCTTTGGCATGCATCTCATTGCTGTGGCCCCTACAACGGTTCGCGTGATAAATGCGATGGAACAAAACAGGGGTCAAATCAGGACACGGTAGGCGTTATGGGGAATGCGCACCCGTAACAAATATCACACCACCAAGTGACTCTATTACGGCAAACCAATTCGGGCGATTGTCGACAAGGGTAATGAGAAAGACGCTCAAGCATCTCCAAATCAACCTCGCCCTGCATCAACCAGCCTATACAGAAGGCAATGCAGTCTACGGAGCCAACCGCATCGCCGCTAACAAAGTCAAAACGGCAGTTCACAAGTGTCAATCGCCTTCAACTCTCAACGCCTACACTGACCCCCTTCCAGCATGTTGAGGCTACCAACGATCATTCCGAGGACGGATTGCCCTGTCGGAAACCTCCGGAACCAATGCAACGACAACGCGATAACCCTATATAGTGCCTCCGCAAACGCCTCCACCCCCGCATCACGGCGGACATCGTCTTTTGCGGCAGTTGCACTTTTATATCACGTGTTATTTGCTGCCTGACACCTAAGAACTGAAGGAGTTAATCGATTATGACAATACGAGAGAGAAACACCGGTAGCTGAAGACAGCATTCAGAGGATACTTCTAAAAATCAACAGTTCTTTTTTGGGCAGGACTGGAAAAATAACCAGAGAGCAGTAGAGAATTAAGGGGAGAATACAGGCCTCTATAAATCGCCAGATTAGGATTTGAGGTGTGATGAACGTAACCAACGGATGTAATATAGAAGTTCACAAATTTTTATATTTTAATATTGTTATTAATTTTAATTTACAGTAGGGGTAAATGAAATATTAGGTGTCAGCGTAGCATCGGGGTACTGGAAAGAGGACACCTCATTGGACAGGATGTCTAAAGATTCACGACTGGTAGAGAGTCGCAATCGGAAGACGCACTGGACTGACTCCTGGTTATTCAGTAGGATACCATTGGCTAACGACCACGCTGAGACGTAGTCCAGGCCATCTTTCAGTATCTGAAGTTGTCTCTGAATTTTAAGAGGATAATCAACAACCATATCATCAGGATATTTTACATATCAACATTCATTTGGAGATCGTAG